CCAGTGACGACTCTACAACAAATTTTATCCATCGGATCATGATCAGTAATGGTGATACGAGGCTGAAAATATAGAGTCGTCACTGGTTCAGACGTACTTATAATATAATTATTTCTGTGACTGCATCTTACATTAATTTGTAGGATCTTTTACAATTGATAATTCAGCTGATCTGTAACAATTCAATCTTCATGCATTATATATCATGTACTGTGTTACGACGCTAGATAGAAACTGGCGAGGAAAGTTAACACCCGGCCACCGAAAGCTTTATTTTTATAGAGCCTAGGTGGTCGAGTGGTCTAGCGCATCGGGCATAGTGCAAGGCGATTTGGTGCCACGATATCTCAGTAGCATGAGTTCGAATCCCGGCGAGGAAAGAACGAAAAATTTACTTCCGCAAACTTACAGATCTAACATTGTTTGGCTGTTGTTTAGACGAATTATATATTCAGAATGTATTTTCAGCCTTGTATCACCATCACTGCTGGTGATCCGATGGATAAAATATGTGGTAGAGTCGTCACTGGTTCAGACGTACTTATCATATGATTATTTCTGTGACTGCATCTTACATTAATTTGTAGGATCCTTTACAATAGATAATTCAGCTGATCTGTAACAATTCCATCTTCATGCCGTATATATCATGTACTGTGTTACGACGCAAGATAAAAACTGACGAGGAAAGTTAACACCCGGCCACCGAAAGCTTTATTTTTATAAAGCTTAGGTGGTCGAGTGGTCTAGCGATTCGGGCATAGTGCAAGGCGATTTGGTGCCACGATATCTCAGTAGCATGAGTTCGAATCCTGGCCAGTGAAGAACAAAAAATTTGCTTCCGCAAATTTACAGATCTAACATTGTTGGGCTGTTGTTTAGACGAGTTATATATATATATATCCTACTTGCCATTATACATCATGTACTGTCTTACAGTCCTAGATAAAGCCGACGAGGGAAAGGCATTACTCGACTAACGAAAGCTACGTTTTTATATAACCTAACTGGTCGAGTGGTCTAGGGTGCTGGACACAGTGCAGGCAGAGTTGCCACGATGTCACAGAAGCAAGGATTCAAATCCCGCTGAGGGAAGAACAAAAATTTGCGAACGTAAATTTATAGATCTAACATTGTTGGGCTAAATATGAGACGAATTACATATATACTAAACAAGAAAATGCATATACATTGGGAAACTTCTGCATGTTTCGCCTAAAGGGATCCTTGATTTTTAGTATATTTTGATAAGCACGAGGACTGCTCCAGAAAAAAAAATTCAACCTTTTGTTGCTTTTCAATTATAAATTATCCTTACTATGTTTAAAATGTTTACATTTGAAAATTGCATAGATTATATATCAAATTTAGTATTTAACCGAACTTCCTGATTCAAACTATTTTCCAAATCATCTCAATACTTCAAAACAAAGAACACTTTACTATCAGGAAGTTTTGCCGATGCTTTCTATTGTGCAATATATTCATTAAAAAGATTAACTCAGTTTGAATTATTTACATATAACTTAAATTCGAAGTACGTATTTGAAGTGATTTATCATTCTATAGGAGGAGTACTTTTATTATAATAAATGTGTTTCAATTTATCAATGGATAGTTTAAACTAAATTCATGTTTTTTTCACTTAATTCATGGTTTTATCCTTTTAGTTAAATTAGTTAGTTAAATAGAAAAAGGGTCAACATAGTCAACAAACTTTACATGATAGGGAACATCTTATATATACTCGAACGTGAAGTTAAAGGATAATCCTAGCTTCCATTCGATCTAGCTGAAAAGCTTCTATATAAAGTCTCCCTCATATAAATAAAGGTACAAGTCGACAAGAAGAGGAACATACTAGTAGTTGGTTCCCATAGGAATACTGTTTGTTTGTTGAAAAACACGTCTTACAAACGTAATAAATATTTTGTCAATAAAAAACAAGCATCTTAATATTGCCAGTCTCGGAATGTATAATTTTGTTTGTTTTAAAGCGGGTTCGTACAAAGTATGATTTATTACTTCTTAAAACTAAATACGTTGGCCATTCTTTTAAAAGAAACAAACAGGTAATGTAATGTGATTTATACTAGACTAAGTACCTAAAAACGAGGCTTCATCCTGAGAGACAACAACATATTTGTCATGAAGGTAGGACAGGGTGCTATTTAAATGTATGAATTGGTCGAAAGAATTATACTTGGCGTACACTCATAGTGAAAACCACTAACTAGTTTCTTCACTACTGTCAAAGAATTTATCATTTTAAAACTTTTGTAATAAAACATATGAAAATAGTAGAATTAACTATTTTCGTAGAGTAAAAAATTATTTGGATGTTTTAGATAAATTACGTGCCATTGACGGTCCTTTTGAATCGGTTGACAATTCTGACTTTTCTACTCCTTATACTACACTTCCACACAATCTTATCAAACAAATGTTTTCCTGTTTAATTAGATGGTCGTTTGAAAAATCTGACTGCAAAGTTATTTGCTGCAATTCATATAAAGCCTTTTTCTCAGATGAGAAAAGTAAATATGCTAGATATACTTACAGGATGTGTGATGAGATGATTAAAGCTGTAAATGTTCTCCTTTGCAACATTTATGTACGTTTCGGCAATAAAGTTTATCGATAGGTTGTAGGTATTCCTATGGGCACTAATTGTGCCCCTCCAATAGCAGACTTGTCCCTGTACTGTTCTAAATCACAGTATATGACCAAACTCAGTAAAAAAAAACGTATTATTTCCATTTAATTGATAAATGCAACAACACTTACCGTTATCTTGATGATATTTTTCGTTAAATAATCAAGAGTTCTCCAAATAAACCGCCGACTTTACCCAAAGAAACTTACTGTAAATAGAGCAAATATTAACAACAATAACTGTCCTTTCCTAGAATTAGATATTTCAGTTTTACACGAGAAATTCTACACAATAATTTACGACAAAAGGGACGATTTTTCGTTCCCTATTCTTATTTTTTTTTTTTTGATGGACAGTGATATTCCTTTGACACTGTCTAACGGTGTTTATATGTCGCAAATCATTCGCTGTGCCTAACGTTTTGGATTTCAATGAGCGTAATCTATATATTACTGGTATATTATTAAGTCATGGATTTCGTTACAAAAAATTACTTTAAACCTTTACTAAGTTCTTCCAGAGATTCAAAGATTTAGTTTGGCTGTACCTGTAGAAAACTTATTTCAAACGGAACAGCACATTCTACTTTTTACGGTGATGATGTTGACCGAGCCCGGAAATTTAGATACGATCCGGGTAAACTTATCAATCTTTTAAATAAACTTATTCTAAAAGGTTACCAATTCAACAGTGTAATTAGATCTTTGAATATTGTTTTTATTGGTATAAATATTGATTTTGTTATCAATGAATTAAGACCATACGAAATATTATTGTTATACACATATGCACATTCACGGGTTTACAATGTTGATACCTATATTTTGGCATTGCACAAGGTCATGTTTTTCTTTGACTGTTAATGACGTCCTTACGCTAAATCCATTGGATGTTGGATGTATACTGATTGAAACTTTAGTCTTAGATACACGATTTTTTTATTAGTTATTGTTGGCTTTGAACTAGCTGTCAGTGACTGCGTGTACTCTCGGATCTGTACGTTGTGTCTTGTTTTGTTGTGAGGGATGTTAAATTCCTGCACATCCGGTCAGTGCTATTGCCAGATGGTTTTGCTTTGTATCGCTCAGATTAGTTAAGCCCTTTCAACTGATGTTTTTAATAGTTTTATCTTATGGTGTATTATTATACTTCATGTCAAATGCCAGATTTTGATTGGTTAATACGAGGGAGACAATTTACTCTATCCTATAGTAAATACTCTATTACCCTTCACGGAGACGCTTGATCAAGTGTGCGCTTTATTAAATACGGATGGTTGTTATGTACAAGACGTCATAGTAGTTCAGTTGTTGTCGTTTGTTCATGTCTGTCATATTTATTTTTCGTTATTTGTTTTGTTATAGATTAGGCCGTTAGTTTTCTCAATTGAATTGTTTCATATTTTTATGTCGGGCCTTTTATAGCCGACTATACGGTCAAAACAGTGTAAAAAACGATTAAAAGACAAACAACTGTTACAGTCCACAAAAAACTACAGAAAAAAGATTGAGATACAAAAAACTCTGTCAAAATGGGGTTAACCAAGATGCTTCGGAATGTTCAAGAGAGGCGACAGATACCAAAGGGATATTTTAACTCATAAGTCGAAAACAAACTAACAATGCCATGGCAAAAAAAAAAGACAAACAATTAAAAGACAACCAACAGTATACAAAAACTTAAGGCTGAGCAACACGAACCCCACCAAAAACGGGAGTAATTTCAGGTGCTCCGCATGTGGCACCCGTCGCGTTGCTCTTGTAAGTACAAACCCGGTGATAAGTCTTTTTTGGTAGGTCACTTTCAAGGAAAAGATGACGGGATTGTAGATACGTCATCTGGAACATATCCGTCGTCATCTGTGAAGAGTTTCAAATCAACTAGAAGCACTCTCAAGACTTTAGTAATAAAAAGGGTTTTTTTTTGTTGAGAGAAAGATTCCTGTACCAAAACTTCTTACCATTGTATTTTACATAATCTAATAGCAACATCTTGTATAATGACATTACGTCAATGCCGTAATCTTGCTTTCATAGTAAATAACTGTTCCATTATAAACTGTTTTACATTTGTCCGTCTATTAATTGGACTACAATGTTCGTCATTTTTTGGGTTGAAATGTAAATATATTATTTATTGAAAAATGTCTCACAACAAATGAGAGAAAACCAACAACAACAAAAACAAAGAAAACAGAAACAGAAAGAAAAATAAATAAATGTAATATAAAAAAAAAAAAAAAAAAACACAAATCCCAAAAAAAAAAAACCACAAAGATAAAAAAAAAACCAAAGATACAGAAATCAATTAAAAAAACCACATACGGACAAAAGATGAAGTGAACTGAAGACAAACATGATTTATTATGCAATACTCATTTGTTAATGATTCAAACATAAATCGGAGTATTCGTGGATTTTTGTATACGCAGTTCAACAAAGATCAGCAAGAGCTTTTCAACAAAACCATGGCGCAGTGTTCATTTTTCCACAGCTTGACTATTTTCAAATTAGATCTTTCAAATAACGTGTTTAATTGATTCTCTGTATACTTATAACTTGTTCCTCCTTCTTCACTGAGCTGAAGTTTTTCTCCCTTTTCAAACACAACTTTCATGTTGAGACCATCTGTAATATTGCATAAGAATATAATAAATAAACACGTCGAAGTAAATATTTTCTGTGTTTCTTAAGGAGTAAATGAATAATTATTGAATGTTTAGTTTATCTTTTTGTGTGACATAAACTGAATTAACATGTAATTACGAAAACTACTTATATATATAATAATGTATTGCAAATTTTGCTCACATGAATTTCACATGAATCTCACGTGAAATTCACGAGAAATATTACATGTGAAGTTCACCTCAAAGAAGGTTATACGTTAAACTCACGTGAAAATTTTCACGTTAATTTCTCGTGAATTGAGATTCACTTGAATCTCACGTGAAAATTGTCACGTGAATTTCACATGAACTTTACAAAACAAAATGGTATTTTTCATGATTTTAATTAAATTTGAAAATTTAGATTTTATTTGAATAACTTTATTTTGAAAATTCGCGTGAATTTTACTTGAAAAAAATCATGCAATTTTCACGTGAAATCAGTTCAAGTGAGTTTCACGTATAAGCTCGTTTGAGGTGGAACTTCACGTGAGATTCACATGAATTTCCCTGTGTATAATTATGATTTTGAATAATTAAGCTCTTTTAAAAATTACGAGTTGTGTTACTGCCAAGTAGTAAACCATCAACCGAAGACCACAAAAGAAAAAGGTGAAATAAGAATATTCTTCATAAGACCTTACAGGCAATTGTTTTGCTGACGGACGGTAAAAGTCATGGGATAACCATATTTCTAAACCCCATTCAACCCTTGAGACTTTTATATGTCCAGCTTAAACCTTTTTTTATAATATGCATATCTAGATACAACAGGTTATTATGTGCATGCGTATTAAGTTTTTTTAAACCATGTTTCTTGGTGTTTGAAGGCACAATTGTCAATTACTTAGAAAAAGTGTAATGCTAACCTATAGAACAAGTTTGTTTGCAAAGTGACCTTAACCATCTATGCATATTCCCTGGTTTGGTATGGTCTTTGTCCAGTATAAATTCCCCTTCGTATACAAATTGCGAAACGTCAAAATGTGCACCCATCTCTTTATTAAGTCTGTGTAATACATTCAAGTTGACTTTTGCAAGGAATCCTGTAAATGCAAAGATTTATACTATATAGTTCATTTGATATAATTGAGTTAAAAACTGCATGCAATTTGTATTTTCGATACATCTTATTTTGTTTCTCAAATGCCAAAAAAACTATTAACAATTAATATGATATATGTTCTTACATCAATGAGGTCCATATTAGATCTAATGACTGTTTGTGGGTATTTTTAAAAAGGTAAAAAATCAGTACAGCAAGATTTTTTTTTATTTTCCTTTTAACTGAAAAGCGTTTACAAAAAATGTATATTTAACTTTCAGAATTCTTTGAACTTCAACATTTCTATTGAAAATTAATGCACTATTTATCATATATATATATATTAAGTACTATTTTTATAAGAGTATCTAACTTTGACTGTCAAAAACTACTACTATTCAAAACTAAGTCATGGGGAACAAAACAAAATGATGTCTATCTGACAGTTTACTTCTACAGATGAATGTGTTTATTTTTGCAACGACTTCTTTTTTTTTTCCTTTTTTTTCTACATATAGAATGTGGTAAAAATAAGGCAATACTTAAATAATTTAGGTTAAGTAAGAAAAGAGAGTAGAAAGATACGAGAAGGAAATTTAAAACGCATAATTCGAAAACAAACTGACAATGCAATGGCAAAAAACGAAAAAAGAACAAATATAAATGAATTAGCTTACTATTTTCGACGTTTGTACAGCTGGGAATTTGGAGGTTTATCATAAACCTTTATACGAACCATATGTTTTTAGCTCTATAGATAATAGTGTAACATTCTTGTATAAACAAGTCTAAATTGAAAACAACGTTCAAACCTATGATTGCGTTGGATAAAAACCGCAATTTTTATACGTGTGCATGCAAAACAAATTTCTTGGTAGAGGGGTCTAAATACAGCACAAACAACATTTTCCAAAAGACCAAAAAAGTGAAAAAGTATATTTTAACAAAACGCATTCGACTAACAGGTCGAACAACGGATGTTCTTAAACCCTGCTGACTGCCATTGGCGATTGCCAAATAAACGGATCACAAGATGTAACAAGATGGATCTTAATTATTAATTTGATACCAAACAGAAAACAATAAATTTGCGGAAAAGATGGTATACCGCAAACAAAAGGTGCAAAAATTAGTACACCATATCCGGATTTCGACAATTGATAATTGATGTCTCTTCAGTGATGTTAGGAATCGAAACAGTATTTGGAAGGCCATAAAATTTACCCAATTTAGGATAGACTCTTGAATTTTAAAGAGTCGAAATAGGATGAACGGATCATATAATCCCGAAGGAAAATATAATACAAGCCCAAACGAAAAAATATAAACAAATATAAATTAAAAACAACGTTCAAACCTATGATTGCGTTGGGATAAAAACCGAAATTTTTATACGTGTGCATGCAAAACAAATTTCTTGGAAGAGGGGTCTAAAAACAGCACAAACAACATTTTCCAAAAGACCAACAAAGTGAAAAGGTATATTTTAACAAAACGCATTTGACCAACAGGTCGAACAACGGATGTTCTTAAACCCTGCTGACTGCCATTAGCGATTGCCAAATAAACGGATCACAAGATGTAACAAAATGGATCTTAATTATTAATTTAATACCAAACAGAAAACAATAAACTTGCGGAAAAGATAGTATACCGCAAATAAAAGGTGCAAAAATTAGTACACCGTATCTGGATTTCGACAATTGATGTCTCTTCAGTGATGTTAGGGATCGAAACCGTATTTGGAAGGCCATAAAATTTACCTCAATTTAGGATAGACTCTTGAATTTTAAAGAGTCGAAACAGGATGAACGGATCATATAATCCCGAAGGAAAATATAATACAAGCCCAAACGAAAAAATATAAACAAGTCTTAATTGAAAACAACGTTCAAACCTATGATTGCGTTGGATAAAAAAACCGCATTTTTTATACGTGTGCATGCAAAACAAATTTCTTGGTAGAGGGGTCTAAATACAGCATAAACAATATTTTCCAAAAGACCAAAAAAGTGAAAAAGTATGTTATAATACACACTACAGATGCCTTATCTTCAATATATTGTTTTCTTGAATTAACGTAAATTTATATCAACAAATCACAAACCTGATGGATCAATATAAGCCTTTTCTATGGTTTCTTTCTCCTGTGTTATGTCAAATGTTACCAGCAATCTGTCATTGTCTAGGAGAAAAAATGTTTATAAAAAAATGTATTTTCTACAGCCAACGAACATTGCATAATGGTATTTGTTTCTGCTCAGCTTTTGTTTCATTAGTTATCCTTAAAGTTAACATTAAGTTTCCAAGATACACAATGTAATATGATTTTCAACTGTATTTACCCATATTTGAACATTTTCATCAGTAGAAAATATTGCCAGTTTATATATACAAAGCTTACCATAAAGACGTTTTGAAGCCAATAAAAGCAGCGCGATTTGTTCTGAATAAGGAAGGTTAAATAAACCACTCAACCATACTATAAGCTTTTGTCCAGGGTAATTTCTGAAAAAAAAGTTTGAAGAATGTTAATGTTGTGATAATTAGCTTCATCCATCGTTTAGCCAACTAATGAAACAACTGTATGTATATTTGTATCAATGATATTAACAAGTTATGGTAACATGTTTACCTCCGTCAATCTTATGGACCTTTCTTTTGACGAATTAAAGAAAAAAAATGTGTGTGTATGTGTTTTTGTGTTTGATGTGTTATTTGTTTACACTCACAAGACTTTGGGAATGACTGTATGGTAATCTCCTACAATTCCATCAATGATCAACCGTTTGGCATAGGTCTCGGACAGAGTTTTGCTTGTAGTTTCGACAGAATCTAAAATAAAATAAGGAGTTTATTTAAATTGGTTAAAGTTATTTTATTGTCACTGAAACTACTAGTGTAAAAATTAATTCTAGTTCTGTGATTTATTCATTTTATTAAACAATCGGTTAATACATATGTTATGAGATGTGGTACGTGGTACGTATAATACAATGCACCAGTGAGACTTCTTAATATTACGACTGCGAAACGCCTAGTTTCCTCATGTAATTTGCAATATTATTAAGAAACAAATAATTGGCTGGATTTATTTCGTAATGCATATTTGAATCAAAGACTTTAAAATTGGTAATTGCTGCTTCTCCGCTAAGAACGTGGTATTAAGGAGTAAGAGAACAGACTCGTCGGATTGGAGTCAGAATAATGTGTTCGGGTAGGGTGACATGTCTTCCTGCGGACTGTTACCTTGTGAACTAGCACGTTAAAAATACGACTCAGCTTGTCGGTTTAGTATAGGGCAGGGTTAATAATCATATTAAATTAACATGTTCTCGTCTTAAATATGCATTTGATTTATCGCTGGTCGTTAAGCAGTCATCCATCATCACCATCTGACTCGATTTATGAGATTTGTACATCGGTAAAAGACTGTTGCCTGAATTTAAAATGTCTAATGAAAATGTATTACCTTAAATTTTTTTTCAGTACCTCTTACAAAATGAAATAGAAGTTGAATAGTAATGAAAAAAATAAAAAAAATATATATTTGCTTTCTAATTGAATTATATTTCAGATTGAAATACCACTTAAATTCTTAAAATTCAAAAAATTGCAATATATACTATAAAAACAATTGTATTGATAACGTTTACGACTAACCTTTACATATATCCACGGGCATGTACGTCAGGGTTGACTCTTTGGTCAAGTATTCGTCGATGAAATATTTTGTTTTCTCTGCAGTTCCACAGCCTAAGTCAGCTAGTAAAAATGGTTGAGTTACAGTAGTCATCAAATCCTAGAATAAGTAAAATGACAATGCAGACAACAGGTCTTTCCTTGTCACCTTTATTTATTTATCAACAAAAGAAAATATGTAGATTTTGTTTAAATTTGAGAATTTGGAGTTATTACCAACATTGCATTTACAATAATAGAAGTTTTGGAGAGTTAATAGAAATACATGTACTAATTAACCTTTCAATTTATTGAAGAGCTCTAAACAGGACTATGTTTCCGTCAACGGGAGCTTAATTTATTACCTTTACGGTTGTGTCAACTTTACAAAATGAATTCTTTTTTTTAAGATGTCCAATGTCAAGGTCGAAAAAAGTTATAGCGTAATACAATATAATTTTAAAATTGTTGAGATAATTTTGCATAGTACAAAATACTACTTACCAAAACATTTTCACTGATGAGCTGTTTTTCAGATTTATGCAGATAGTAGTCCTTATTATGCTGGATATTTTCGTTGTAATAATTGCATCCGGTTTCGTCAAATTTATACCAAAAAGGAACAAACTTTTTTGGACCATTCAGACCTCGTTTCAATTCCTCTACAACATCCATTGCTTTTTTCAAACCACACTACGTTGAAGTTGCCTTTGAACAATCATAAATACTTATTTATAAAATGACTTTTCATTTAGGAAAAATTATGTCTGAAAAGAAAATTAGAAACATCGTAAAGTGAGACAGATTTTTGTCTTTCAAATATATGGGAGAGAGAGAGAGAGAGAGAGTAATTGGAGAATTCTAAATTTCTATCAATTTTACCAATTTATATAACCTATATTAATCGGTATCTTTTTATCCCAAAAAAAACAATATAAAGTTGTCACGAAAGCCCCGATAGGAAACACTTCAAGCAACGATCACTGTTAAAAAATCGATTCTTCAACTTAACAAATAAGGAACTAAATTAATTGAAATGAGATCTCGGAGGAACGAATTAAAATTAATAACAATCAAATCAAGATCTCGGAAGTCAAATCGAGATCAGAGCAGAAATTACTAAATTGAGATCTCGGATGTAAATTCTTGATCTACTACATCGATATCGCGGATAGAAAAATAAAGAGGAGCGTGTCCCTATTTGGCTTCCGTAGAATAAAATTGAGAGTTAAAGTAGATTAATATTCATTTTTTTTTCATCATCAATATCAACTAGGTGCCTGTATTGATCATATGGTTAAAACATCGCCAGATTGCCAAATAAGACTTTTAAATGCACATATACTATAGTTACTCTTTGTGTTGCTGATGATTTTTGCCATTTTGAGATTTGCATGTTAAACATAGCTCCAAAAGTTTTTCTTAGCCAAAATTGCAAAAACAGTAAAGTCAAAATGTCAGGGGCAATTACTCCAAAACGGGTTATCAAATTTTCAGAGTAGATATATCTTGTCATGCGGATCATAACTGCAGTTTACTGCAAATAAATGCAAAAAAATGAAGAAAAAAGTATATTTCAGAGGCAGTAAATCAAAAACAGCTGGACAATTTTTTTTCTAAAAATTTCAGGGCGTGCGGATCAGTTTTGCAATTTTGCACTTTTAACCTAGCTCCTACAGATTTCTTGACAACAACTAACTGATTACTGCTAAAAACTGCCAAAAAATTATATTTCAGGGCCAAAACTCCAAATCAGGTCGACAGATTTTTTCGCCAATGTTTAGAGTAGATAATCTCGTCGTGCTGATCCTGTTTTCAATTTACACTTTTAACCTAGATCCTATAGTTTTCACAATATAAACAACAACTGCCAAACAATAGGAAAAAAATCGATATTTCAGGGGCATTAACTCCAATATGCTTATTTATATTTCCCCCAAATTTGAGGATGGATACATCTTGTCATCTAAATAATTTATGATATTTACACTTTTAACCTAGCTCCTATAGTTTTTTGCAAGATATTTAAAAAAAGTTAAAAAATTATCATTTTAGTGGCAATAACTCCATAAACAGGTGGACAGACTTTTACAAAATTTAAAGGGTAGATAGAACTTGTTGTGCTGATCATTTCATATATATCATGTTTATACCATGTTTATATTATTCTTATTGTTTAAGTGTTAGAGATATTAGCCAAAAACTGTAGTTTGAACCCTTTGTTCTTTGTATAGACATGTCGGCCATGCTGGTTGATCTACCTGGAAAAATTCAAAAACTTTATAGTTGATATCCTACAGATAAAGCAGACAAACTTCGATTTCAAAACATTAAGAAGTTTTCAGACTAGATGGTTAAAGAAAATTTTACGACGACAGACGCTAAGTTATGACAAAAGCTCAACTGGCCCGAATCTCATCTAAATCATATTACCTCATCTTTATATATTTTATGAATTTTATATATTTTAAAACATGTGTTAATTACAACATAGTACTTACTCAATCAGTTGGAATGTATTTCACCGAACAGCCTACACACGAATAAATCCTAGATTATAAAAAAAAAAACTTCAAAATATTTTTAAGCTATGTTTTCACTTTTGATTATGAGCTTATGAAATTGCTTACAAAACCTCTGTCATGCGCATTAAAATATTGTAGTTTATTGCGTCTTGTGACACATAGAATTTGTTAAACACGATATAACTGATAGACAGCGGTAAGGCGGATCTTAATTGTTAGATTGATTAAATACATAGCAAGCAGATATAAAAAAAAAAAACATTTAACATAGAAGAATATTACTTTATTCTCATTGTTTCCAAGTCAAACGTACTAGAAAAAAATTAATGATGATGAGAACAAATTGGCGTGGCTGTAAGGTTAGTTCTGTTGTTATATTAATTTGTAAGGTTTGTTGAAAAGATATAGACAAAGAGCTGCAAAATTTAAGAAAGGCAAATACAAATTTATTGAAGGTTTAAGCCTTTTATGTTGATATCAATTGAATTAGTGCTCACTGATATGAATAAAATGACATGCGGTTTCACTCTAAATAATAAAGAATTTAAAACATGTTTTTCTTTATTTGTTAACCTATTCTTGTTTTTGCTACTAAGCTTATATGAGCACCAGCAGCAATATTTGGTGGCAGTTGAGGTTTTTCGAACTAATAGTCCAAACGAGGATTTTATAGTTTGCTTTGAATTGTGATTGTTTAAACTTTGTATTCAATCAAAATAACATCCTCGTTCGGCAATTATAATTCTATACAGATTAAAAATAATTTCATTTCATTAATTTACAAATAAAAAAACCAAAAATAACACAAAAATTTATTTGATTTGTTGTGATTTATTTGAGGAACTTGTCACTCCCTCTGAATGTTTTGTCTCTTCAGAATTTGGTGTTTTGTTAGGTTTTTTGTGGTCTATTGGTAATCGTAACTTGTCTAGAATTGTCTAGACCAAGACAATTGAAGCTTGTCATGCGGAGTGGGTTCAAGGACGTTGTTGTATCTCTGTAGCTGTTTGTTTCCGATATATTTTCTTCACTATTGTTGTTGATTTCCCGTTTCATTGAGGCTTACTACCATACCGTTGCATATCATATGGTGGAAAGTAATACATACATCTCATTTCCTCCATGTTCGTTACAGGAAAGGCTAACACAAAGAACACTAAAAAAAATGTGTAAATTACTTCGCTGAACAAAACATAGGATGTGTTATACGCCATATATTCTTGCATTTCTTAAATTTTAACATTAACTTACCCCAAAGTAATGCATTCCCAAAAATTTACAAAAGCTCCAAGTTTTAATATTTTTTGTTTAATATCCAAGTAACTTAACCTTATATTGTATCATTTAAAGGAAAATCTCTTTCTCTCTCTCTCACTCTCTTTACCTACTTGCTTTTCTATTGTTTCACTTATCTTTATCTGCCTCAGTATCTTTCTCCATTTCTCTCTATCTTTCTATTATCTTCCCATTTATGTACCTCAATCATTAAGAAAGCATTTAAAAAAATTATCGGTTGTAACTTATCTTTTCACAAAAGAAAATGTATATCCTGTTTAGGAATATTTGCCCCTTTACAATAACATTAACGAAATAAATCAATTTTACTGCACGTGATGCTCATTTCGACAATAAATGTCTCTTCAGTGATTCAAATTATGACAAAGTCCATTCATTTCCAAATTAAACTACAAAATCAAAAGTCAAGCATTTTTTTTATCTTTGTATTCTCATCAAATGAAATGCAGCGTTCAATAATTAAACAAATTTTATATTCTAAAACATTGATTTTATTCCATTTCTTTTACAACGAAAATCATTAAAAATATAAAAAGTTTTATGGGGTTTGTGAAGACTAAAAGTCTTCTGTCACCTTATGTTAAAGGATTGAAACTATGTTTTTTACCTTGACCTTCGACCTATGGACTAATAGATTTTACGGTGATTACCATGAAACGTTGTCTCAACTCACTAGCGACATGTTTCGTGTTTGATACCAGAAAATCGTCTGATCGATAATTTTACCGATTGTGTCCTATTCCCGATTATGACATTTTGAATGAGTTTGGATTGGCATGGCAGGTCATCATACATTACCGGAAATACTTACCTTATCGACGGACCGGTTTTGCTACTTTAAGAGTTCATGCAATTTACTCCGTTTTTGTGTTACAGTACTTGCAACTTTAGGCGTTACTGTTTGACGTGAAATTAGCTGATCGTGAATGATCGATGACGCGAACTTGGCTGATCGGTGATGATTGGTGATCGATACAATGAAACTTATTTGACTTATCTGACTTTTTTTTTTTTACGGTAACAGACAGCGAGCGATCGTTTAATTAATTATATGCACGGATCGAACGGATCCATATATAGTTCAAATTCCTATGTAAAACGAACTCCGCAGTATTTACATATGTGATAAACGCGGACCTCAACGAAGAGTCCTATCCCGATAATTTGTTTTTAAATTGGTCGCAATGATATGTGAAAAAAATATGTAAATTACTTTAACGCATGGTGCAATTATTCCTTATTAGTTCTTTTGTTTTTCTGCTCAATAAATTTAATAATTGCATACTAATGGATTTTGCTCATTGTTGAAGGCTTTACGGTGACCTATAGTTGTTAACTTCTATGTCATTGGTCTCTAATAGAGAGTTGTCTCATTGGCAATCATACCACTTCTTCATATTTTTATATTGACATGCTCTGAATGTTTCTGCATCACTTGAAAGCGACAAGCTATCATTTGAAATCAGTATATTGATGGTTTGTTTTTCATAAAATATGATAAATATATGATATAAGTAACTAAAATTTTGTTCGCATTATTAAAAAATGCCATATTTCATCTTTTATAAAAAATCATTGCACTTGTATTTGCTTCAATCATTTTAATCTGCGTGATGTAATTTTAATAGAATGTGAATAATCTAGGATGAAGATATTTAAACTTTTGTTTCTTTATAAAATGTGAATAATCTAAGGATAAAGATACTTAAACTTTTGTTTGTGTTGAATAAGAGGGCAATCATATCTTCACGACTCTTTCATCTTGCAATAGTATCAAAACATTAACTCTTCTACACTTAACACAAGTATTCCCATTCCAAACTTAAAGACAAAATTGAAGGTTGGTCCTGCTTTGTTTCATAAAAAAAAATTGCCAACGTAGATACAAGTATCTTGTCTTCCGAAGGGATAAATTGCACTTTGTAAAAAATTACTCTGTTTCAAACTAAAAAATCTCTGAAACTGACATTAATATCAAGATACATGATTTCTTGATTGACAACATATTTGTTTTTTAATATCAATACAGTTTCAATTTAATTTGTTTGTCTAGTTTTTCCCTGTAAGTATAATACTAAATTCTTTCAATATTACAGAATCCCATTTTCATTCAACGATCATGACTTCCATATATGTCAGACTCACATCTCATGCTTTTATACTGTTCAAATAATTTTTTGTATCTTTTTGTTTTTTTTTATTTTGTTGTGTTTTCCTGTGATGATGATGATGATGATGATGATGATGATGATGATGATGATGATGATGATGATGATTTGTGTGCCGGTTTGGTAATGCTTCCCTACAGCAGTCCTTTCTTATCCCCTGTTACGGCTGTTTCAGTCAATGGGTAACAGCGTTCAAGATTACAGGGCTGCTGTAGGTATATTTTATAACCGAAGAAAATACTGTAAACCTTTAGCACGTATAAAAATGGATTCCTATTGAGATATACTTTTTACTAACTTACGCTGCAGTTTCCTCGTCTTCAATCTCTCGGTTTTACAAACAATATGTCCAAGATCAGACATTATTTTTCTGTTGTATGTACTTCATTTTATCTTCATAATTGGAAATATTGAAACAAACCCAGGTCCAAATCTTCGTAACGAATCGAATACACCGTCATTTAACGACACAAATACATCAGACAATTTTATTTCCATTTGTCGTCTGAGCATTAGACCCGTCAGAAATAAACTAGCATTTCTAAATAATTTTTGTGACGAATTTGATATTGTAACATTAACAGAAATGCACATAGATCCCAACATCGCTGATGACAACATTCAACTAGACTCTTTCTCTTCAAATATCGTAAGAAAAGATAGAAATAGCTTTGGTGGTGGTTTACTTATCTATGTTAAAGATGGTATTGGACTTAAACGCATTAATGCACTCGAAACAATAGACGATGAATCCCTTTTTGTAAAGATCCATGTTAAAGGCCAAACATTTTTATTATGTCACACTTATCGATCGCCTAATTCAGATAATAACTACTGGACAGTTTAAATCATGCAATCGGAATGGGATTACAGGTCAATGAGAGGATGGTTATTACGGGCGATTTGAACTCTGACTTACTTACAGCGCACAACAACAAACTGATTGGCACATTAAATTTGTTCAATCTAACCAATGTAATTAAGTTACCTACTAGAATAACAGACCATAGTAGCACTCTGTTAGATCCGATTATAATAATTGACTCTATGACATGTTCCTTTTCTAATGTTCTAAAAACCCCATCCGTTATTAGTGATCATGATGCACCTATTGCATTTCTCGAATGTCCAATGTCCGATTTTAAATCTTTTAAAAGAGAAATATGGCACTATGATAGGGCTGATAAATCAAAATTTGCGGAGAAGTTAGATGAAATAGACTGGAACACAGTGCTTCCGGACACTAAAAACACGAACGAGTTGTGTGAAATATTTACAAATAGAATTTTTGAAAATAGCCAAAGTGTGTATCCCTACTAAGCTAATAACTGTAAGACATAACGACAAACACTGGTTCAATAACGACATAAGACGAGAAATTCGAATTCGAGACCGATTAAGAAAAAAGGCAGTTAAATCCAAGACTGAAAATGACATTTTGAGGTACAAGCAACAGAGAAATAAAGTAAATAATATGAAAAAAATAGCCAAAGAAAAGTTTGAAACAAATTTGAACAGTATTATACTAGAAAACTCCCCGAACTCAAAAACGTATTGGAAACTTATGAAAATGTTGATTAAATCAAATAAAAATTCGGACAACATACCCCCTCTCCAAAATATTATAAATGATAATGGACTAAACGATGTCGTATATGAAGATGAGGAAAAATGCAGCTTATTAAACAAATATTTTAGTATGATTTCAAAACTTGATGAAGAACATGTAAATTTACCAGAATTTAAAACAAAAACTGACAGTAAATTTTCGGAAATCAAAATAAATACTCAAGAAATCATAGATATTATCCAGATATTAGATCCAAACAAGGCATCAGGCCCAGATGTGATCAGCCATAAAATGCTTAAGTTATGTCCGGAAAAGGTTGCAGTTC